CCCTGGTGCTTGTGTTGGTGCTGCCTGTCCGATGTCCGGAAGCCCCACACATCGGCCCCCTCCCTGCTATTTCTACCTGGGTGGGTCCTGGACCGTGGGTGCAGTTATGTGGAGGGGTCCTCCACACCGGCGGCAGGATGATCCTCTGTCCAGTTCCACGGCGCTGTTTCTGGAAGGGGTGTTTTTTTGCAGCGTGGCGTGGGCTTCCTCCCCCACTCTCTCCTGCCCGGCAGGCCGCCTCCCCAGGTCAGGATGGGCTGGCGGCAGTGCAAAGGACTCACTGAGAGCTAATGATAAATGTAATAGTGTGTAACAGTGATAGAGGGCCGCTGGAGCCTGGTTGTCACACACAATTAATATCCCCCGCCGTTCTGTCTCCGTTTGTTTGTTCCCCGGCGATTCGGCTCCCAGTTAACTAATAGCACATGAGCCTGGACATAAATTGTATTTGACGGGAGGTTTAATTCCGACCATTTAAAATTTCAACTGCCCCTTGAGCCTGCCTGCCCCTGGAGTTTGTTTACGGGCCTGATTATTTTAGGAGAAGAACCCAAACATCGCCTAGATGCTAGAAACCGGAGGGAGGGCGAGGGCAGACAGGCCAGCTTCCCAACCCATCCGCCACCCGGCTCAGAATGTGAGGAGGAAAATTCATATTCCGCCCCGCGAGGGTCTGTCCCCTGTGTGTTCCAGCCCTGCCATCCTTGGGCGGTAGGAGCTTCGAGGGCTGATAAAATGCGCATTTAAGATCATATTCTAAACCACTGCCAGACACACACACACACACACACACACACACACGCACGCACACACACACGCACACACACCCCACTGCACACACATCAGCCTGCACTCACGCAGGCGCACGGGGGTGGGTGTGCGGGGGGGATGCAGCTCCAGCCGGGTTCCCGCTGATGGCAGAGAGGTGCTGGGGCTCCTTCTGCAGCAGCGCTGGGCCCCAGCAACAGCTCCAAGTTATCGAGCGAGCGTGCTAAGGCGGGCAGAAAAATAATGTTTCGATTTACTTAGAGATACAGTTGTTATTGCCATCACCTTAATGAAGGCAGTAAACAGTGCGGTATTAAGGGAGATTTATACAGAAACGCTTTTAACATGTAGACATAGATTTTGCGGTGCATACAGCACCTCCGTTCTCAAGGCAATCAATATGGTTATGAACGGTGGTGATAAATTACAGGCTCTGAAGCTGGAGAGGGAGGATTTTTGCACGGGTGTATAAATCAGCTGGCATTGGCGTTCCACAGGGCCCGGGCCCCACAGTAAATCTGCCAGGTTTGCAGGGGCATCACTAGGGGTACTGCAGGGGGCGACACTGTGAGAGAAGGTGGTGGGAAGACACCAGAGTGACAACCGATTAGCAGCCACTCAATGGTCATTTATTATTTCTTATAAAAGCACCCTGTTGTTAGTGCTAACCACAAACACATTTTTTCATAAGCCCTGCTTACATTGGCTGCAACGCGACGCCAATGTATGATGTGTTCCAGTCAGGGCTGTCACTCTCACCCACTTACAGTGATGCCTCCACTCGCACAGTGTCGTTAAGGGTTAATTTAAATGTTGCTAGTTGTTTACGTCGCTTCCGTTACCTTTCCATGTGGTGACATAGGGGGATTACGATGTATGAGTAAGAGCACAGAAAACATGACTAAGGATTCTGGATCATCTGGTCCATGGGCAAGGGTGTGTGTGTGTGTGTGTGTGTGTGTGTGTGTGTGTGTGTGTAAACATGACTAAGGATTCTGGATCATCTGGTCTATGGGCAAGGGAGTGTGTGTGTGTGTGTGTGTGTGTGTGTGACACTGGGTGAGGCCAATCCTAGTGATGCAGGCTCGGGTGGGCACAGCCCTTGCATCGGGGGCTCCCTGCTAAACCCCTGTTTGCCCAGGGCATCGGCCTTGTCTGTGTCATAATTCTATGTTTGGTGGAAGCTCATAAAATAGGCCTCTTTATTCCATTCCCAAGCTCAGCTCTCTCTCAGTCCCCAGAACAGTCTGGTGGTTTCGTTCGTGTGTGTGTACACTCATGCCTACGTGGCTCTTTATTCAAGAACATAATTCAGGGATGGGGCCGCTCCTGTTGACACAGATGAAAGGAAATTTATATCAAGGAGAAACCCTAGCACATCCCTAGCAGGGGAGCATGGTGAGCAGACATTTTGCAAAATGCAGACACATTTGTGCTCAGAAGCTGTCTCAAAGCCCCAGCTGCTTTGTGAGGGGCTTACCGTGACTCCCGTGGGCTTTCCTGCAAGTGAGAGGGCTCGAGCCAGCGTGGCCCGGAGAAACACAGAAGTGCACAGGCTAGAGGCTGCTGGGGGAGAAGAGGGAACTGCTGGCTGGGAACTTTCCAGGCCTGACTGAGTCTCCTGGGAAGGTTGGAGTCCGAAGCTGTTATTAGACCCCTGGGAAAAGTGGACATCCCTCTTCTTTACCTTTCCTTGCTGCTTAAGGGCTAGGGAAGCCACACAGCCGGGCTGGGACGTGGTCTATTGCCTAGGAATGGCGTGGCCATCGGCTAAAGTGACCTCGAGGTTCAAGCGAACTTGAAGTCAGAATGAGGCTGCCCCATGGTCAGCGGCCCCGCTTTGGCAGTAGAGGCATTGAGAATGGCAGCACATGTAAGAAACAGCAGGTGGACCTCAGGGAGCAGCTCCAGGATCCAGGCCTCATCTTTTTAACGAAGAGTCATTAAGTTACAATGGATGGCTCTCGGGTCGTTCCCTTTGGATTGGTCGACTGAATGTCTTAGATAACTGGGATGGGAAGCCCTTCGTGCTCCTCAGGGTCCTCTTAGTGACCAACACACAGGCTGAGAGTGGGACAGGTGTGCTGTTGGAATGGTGTGTTCCACCTAACCTCTCGTTCTCCTGACTCACCTATGCACATGCCCCATTGCCCCCACTTCCGCTCGCCCTCCCAGGCAGTGAGTGACTACCTCTTGTGTCCACCTTGCCTACCTGTCTGCTTTGCATCTCTACAGTGAAGGGGACTCGGATGTGGACTCGGAGCTGGAGGACAGGGTCGATGGGGTCAAGTCATGGTTGTCCAAAAACAAGGGACCTTCCAAGGCAGCTTCCGATGATGGCAGCTTGAAGAGTTCCAGGTGAGCATGCGGCCTGAAAGCCTTCCTGTGCCAGACGGGCGAGCAGTACCTGATCCTGCCGAGGGGGGCAGGCCACACGCCCTCACACCTGGCACCTGCGTGTGTGTGTGTGTGTGTGTGTGTGTGTGTGTGTGTGTAGGGGGTGGTGGTGGTGCGTACACACTCCTGACAGATGGAATGAGCTCAGGAGTGCGTACACACTCCTGACAAGTGGAATGAGCTCAGGGGGTGGTGGTGGTGCGTACACACTCCTGACAGGTGGAATGAGCTCAGGTGGTTCTGTTGCTTCTCGGGGCCTGCGTCCCCTGTTGTCCCTACGTCACGGTTTCCTTTTAGGCTCAAGGCTTTGCTTTCATCCCCGCTTATTCATTCAGCAAATAGGTATCGAACCACCCAATAATCTGAGTCTTTTGAATCAAGACAGGGAGCACTCTGAACCCCAGAACTCTGGCCAGGGCCCATGCCAGGCCTGGGGGGGAGGGGGGCGCTGAGAACAGCAGCAGCCAAGGCCCCGGGGGTTTCCGATTCTCTGTCACAGCGCCAGACCCATCTCTGCCTTTCCCGGCTCCTCCTCTCATCTTTCCATGCCCGCCCCTGTACTGCACGCCAATGCTCATCCACTGGGGGAACCTCTTCCCTGATTTTCGAGCCTCCTCCATCTTCTAATCACAGGGGCTGCTCCTCCCCATCCTTACATCCTTAGGGTTGTTCCCCTCTTCCCCTCCCTCCACCTCTCCCTCCTTTGATCACCACCACTTCCCTGATAGCATCGCAACGCACAGGCGTGCACACACACACACACACACACACACACACACACACACACGCACGCACTTCCCTCATGACCCATCCCCATCCTCCAGGGCACACCCTTCCCCACCCGCCTCCCAGAGACACTAGGTGGTAGGCTGGGAAGAAAAAGCCCTCTCCCACTGGCTCCCCAACTCTCCCGAGAACCCCATCCTCAAATCCAGCCCCTCACCACCAGCACAGAGTGGGTCCCTGCTTTAATTGGTTCGGTACTTTGGACCACCCAGCGTTTTGTTCTTGCAGATAACGCTGCCTTCCCCACCCCGCCTCGCTGTTCACCGCGGCGTGGCACGAGGCTCCAGGTAGTTGACAATGAAATAAATTGAACTAAACGTTTTAGAAGGGGAAAAGTGATGAAATAGAACAATAGTCTAATTTACATGACATTCTCCATGAAGCTATTTTCACTGACGCAAATTATTTTGCTTCATTTCCTCTAAAGCTCTTACCTCCACTTCGCCTGGCCTGCTTTCCCTCCCTCCTCCTGTGTCTTGATTCTCCAGGTTTAACCGTGTCCCCTCTCTCTCCCCCACACCTCTCTCTCTGCACCCCTCCACTCACCCCGGGCCTCTCCGGTCAGAACGTCCCTCCCTGCCCTCTCCAAGGAGGGCAAGGGGCCGGAGGAGAGGCCGGCCTCGGGGCTGAGCTCCCTGAGCTATCGGAAACGGCTCACCCTGAAGGACTCCATCGGGGGTGCGGGCGACCAGGACTCGCTTTTCTCCACCCTGAGTGAGCGCCCGGCCTCCCCGGAGAGGCCCCCCCGCAGGGCCCGCAGGGGCCCCCCGGAGGAGCCCGGCCCTGGCGCCGAGCAGGCCGAGGAGCTGGCCGAGCGGGGCTCTGTCTTCTCGCGGCCGGGGAGCCGCCTGAGCCGGGGGCTGGAGAAGCGGTGGGGCGCCGACGTGGACGGGGCCTCCACCGTGTCCGCGCCCGTCAGCCGGGCCTCCTCGGCCACGCGCCGCGGCTCCTCCGTGGCCGAAGACGGGGTGCGCTCCTCCCTGAGCTGCTCGCTGTCGGGCTCCCCGAGTTCGCGCCGCCGCAGCACCTCCCGCCTGGACAGCCTGGCCAGCGCCCTCAGCCCGCCCCCGAGCCGCCAGAGCCTCGACTCGCGCCTGTCCCTGGGCCCCAGCTGCCTGGACGCGTGGGACGATGGCGCCAGCGTGGCCTGGAGCGAGGCCCCGTCCCAGGCCAGCCACCCGTCGGCGCTGGCGCGCAGTCGGTCGGTGCCACCGCGGCCCCACCTCTCGGCCTCGGCCCTGGACGAGCCCCTGAGCGCCAGCGCCCAGCCCGGCAGCCGCCGCTCCTACCTGGACCCGGACCTGGAGGCTGCCATCAACGAGGTCTTGAGCTACAAGCCCCTCCCGTTCAAGCGGAGCAGCCTGGAGCCCGACTCGGAGGAGGACGACGACCGGAAGAGCATCCGCAGCGCCCGCAGCGCCCGGCTGGACCCCCCGGAGCGAGCCGCGGGCATCCGCCGCTCGGCCTCCGCCGCCGACGTCTCCCGCTCGCGCAGCGGCCGCAGGAGCCGGAGCAGAAGGAGCAGCTCCAGCTCCAGCTCCAGCTCCAGCTCCGAAGATTCCTCGGAGCCCAGGCGGAGGAAGAACGGGCGCTCTCGAAAGCGCAAGAAGAAGTCCAAGTCCAAATCGAGAAGAAAGCGAGCAGAGGCCCAGTCTGACTCGTCCTCGTCCTCCAGTGGCTCCACTGTCTCCGGCCACAGCCGCTCCAGCGTGAAGAAGGGGCCCGCGCTGGAGAGTGAGGAGGCCGGGGAGCAGCGCAGGCCCTCGCGGAAGGAGGAGAAGAAGCGCAAGAAAGAGGTGGACAGCCTGATGATGCGGTACCTGTACCGGCCAGAGAGCGACTAGCGCTGCAGGTGCCGCCTGGCTTGGAGTGCAGCATGGGGTGTGCCACCCGTGTGAACTAACGTTCCCCTTGTCCCCGCCCACCGCCACCTTAGGTACACACACACGCACACACTTTCACTCCGCTTGGCCAGACAACCAGACAAGGCCTCTTCGAGCCTCCTGGTGCCCTCTGGCGCGCAGGGGCCAGCTCAGTCTAACTCCCTGGTGATGTGAACCACAGCCTCCACCCAAGTCAGGTACCACTCTAGACCCTTGCTTGCCCCACTTGATCCATTTAATCCGCACAGTAATTTCCTAACGAAGGTAGCCCTGTTTTACCAGAGAGGAAGCTGAGACTCAGAGAGGCCAAGTCATTTGCCATCATCACACAGTTGGCCAGCTGGTGGGAGGCCAGTCCTCTCTGGCACTCCTGCCTTTCCCTGCTCCCCTGCACTGCACAGGGTGCATGAGCAGCCTATTTGCCACCGCGTCTGCCAGGCAGCACCCATACTGAAAGCTTCTACCCTGTGACCCTGACAGGCTTGTCCCAGGAAAGGGCTCTTAGTGAACACCCCCTAAGGCCCCTTGCACAATTCTCCTCACCCCTGCAAAGTCACCTTCCTTCCTCCCTCCCTGACGTGGATCTCAAGCCTCAGAGTACCAGGCTCAAGGGGCTGCAGCCCCTGCCCCCAGCACCACACCCTACAGCAGTGCCCGGAGATGCCTGATTTCCCTCTCCTCCCTCCCACCTGAAGCCCACGCGTGGGTGTTACCTCGTTTCTGCTCAGCTTATCAAGTTTTAATGAATAGAAATTAGCAGCTGCTGAGTGACAGCCCCTCCTGACTCTCCTGCCTCCCCCAGCTCCTCTCCCTGTTGGGGAGGAGGGTAGATCCAGCAGTCAGGTCCTTTGTGCCCACACTCCCCCGTCCCCCCCAGGAGCAAAGCCAAGCCTGACTCACTGGATCCCTGTTGTTGCTGTTCCCCTGGTGGGCGGTGACATTTCGCATCACCCTGGGTGCTCGGAGCTGTTTTCAGCAGGGTACACTCGCAGGGCAAGCTTGCTGCTACCCAGGAGCTGTGACCCCAGCAGGCAGCCCCCGGGGTGAAGCCCCATATTTCCTAGACACATGGACTAACACACCTGTCGCATGCCTGTGGCCCTCCTGTGTGGCAGGGCCGCCGAAGAAATGCACTGACCTGGCTAGGCGACGCCCAAAGAGCATGTGGCTTTGTGGAGGGGAGCCCGGGGGATGTGACTGTTACCTGGAGCCATTGAGAGATGGATGATGGGAGGGGGTAAGGATGTGGAATGGGTGGGGAGTCTGGGGTAACTTGAACCTAAGGTCCTCAGCCTTGCTCAGTCCCTGCCCCTGTGTGGCAGATGGTTTCGAAGGGTGCTTTGGGAGAAGCAGGCAGCATCTCAGTGGCACCACAAAGCCGTTGTCACCAAAGGGAGAAAAGGCAGGCTTCATAATGTTGTGTCTGCCCTCTCCGCCTCACCCTCGCCCCGGCAGGACTCCTTCAAGGAGAAAGTCTGGAGGGAGGAGCGAGGGCGGTTTTGAAGGCAGAGAGGGGCCAGGCCTCACTAAGCGGATCCTAGTGGTTGACTGGCAGATTCAGATCTCTGATACCCTGAATCCACTGTCCCCTTTGACGGCAGCCAGCAAGAACAAACCCACCAGCCTGTTCCTTCCACTAGCCACCTGGGCACCGTTCCTCTTGACCATGAGGAAAGCAGGGGTGGGTCTGAAACCCCGTGCACTGCCATCTCCGAGGACTGCATTCACTGTTGGCAGAGTGGGCGCCAAGCCAGGCCCCAGCTGCCCAATGTGGAGTCGGAGAGGGAGGCCCCAGTTGGCATTGGCCACTTTGGGCTGGAGACACTACCAAGGGTGGGGGCGGGGGACAGAGGCAATAGCACTTAACTTCCCATCTGGTGATGGGGACGGACGAGAATTCCGAGGCAAACCGAGAAGGCAGCATCCGTGGCAAAGGCCCGGAGAGGGGGCTGCTCCCCCCTCCCCGGGCTCTCCCAGCGGGAATTAGCTTATGTACCAAATTGTTTGTGACAGTACTGAGCAGGAGACATTGGCTTGTGGGGAGGAAAGCTTTTTAAACAATTTGGATAAAATGTTCTGATTGCCAGTCCAGACTCTGGCAGGGGAGCCGGGGAGTGGGGAGGGGGTTGCTGCAGTGGTCAGTAGTAACCGCTAAGGGGACTGGCTACAGACCATCCCACATAGAATTCAGCAGTTGGGGATGGGGTGTGGATCTAGTGGATCCACAGAGCAGGGATGGGAGAAGTACGGAGTTTACCACCTCTGCAGAGTCTCCATGTGACAAGATGGAAATTTATCCAGGTGTGTCTACCTGACAAGCACTAGAATGTGGTCCTGTATGCCTCCTCCCTCTCCCGCAGCAGAGGGCACAAAGAGCACAGGGCCTCCGTGGGTAGACACAGGGCTGGCCCTGGCCCTGTTGTTCAGGCAGTTGCCTCATTTGCATCTGGAGCCCAGCCCTGGCATCTGCCTCACACACCCCACCCTCCAACCTCATCGCCACATACAGTGTCACTCCACTGTGTCTCCACAAAGCTAGCCGGTCCTCTGCAGACCTGTGGCCCTGGGAACCTAGGGATCCCATCTAAAACATGAAAATAAAGCCAGGCTCCCATTCATTTTGAATTCAAACCACCGAGAAGCTAAAAGAACCCCAATATTTTTCCCCCAGTGGCACAATCCTTATTGAGCTTTATAATTTTGTCCCTGAGACACCCCAGAGTTCCTAAGTGCCTTCGGCCCATCAAAATAAGACTCATTTGTGTTCAGTCTAGTTTATATTAAATGTGTTTTGTGCTATTCTGATTCCTTTAAAAATGGTAATTCATTCATGAGAAATACGATAACTATTAACCAGACTGCCCCATTCCTGAGTCATTTTGCATAATTGAACATGTATTCTATCAGGCTTTTCCTTCCCCCAAGAGGGGGAGAGAGAGGAGTCCATCTTTACACAACCCCTGGGCACTGGTCCAGCCCAGTGGGGAGGCGACAAAGACAGCTTCAGGCTCGCTCTTAGGCTCTCCCTGAGTCACTTAATCCAGAAGCAAGGTGGAGTTGTCAAAAGGCTCTGAGATCTGAGTCCCAGGTTCCAATCCCAGGTGACGAGTGGAGAGCGGAGAGCGTGCCTAGGACAGTGCCTCAGTACACAGGGTCCCATCCTCCAGAGCCACAGCTGCTCGCTTCTCTCACGGACCCACTTGGCCCTTTCTTGCAAAACCTCCTCTTTGGGCTTAGAGAAACTCTTGAAAGGGCCGCTAAACAAAAGAGCCCCCGGGATGCTGACATTGGGCAAGGGTAAGTCCTAAGCAACCGGGGGGTGGTCAGATTCCCACTTGGCAGAGTGGAGGCGCTCTAGCACTCAGAAGCAGGACTGTCTGTTCCTGGGTGCACAGGCAGGGCTGCAGCTCCAGGGCCCCAGCTCGAGGACAGGCAAGGGTGGAAGTAGCACCATGCTGGGCTGGGCTTGTCCCCATTTGTGTTGCACTAATACAAAACCAGGCCATTGTCGTCAAGTGGATTCCAACTGGCAGCCACCCTGTACAGCTGCCTCGTTGAGCTTCCAAGCCTGGGAATCTTTCTGGGGGAAGACTGCCACACCTTTCTCCAGGTGCTTAACCGAGTGCTTAACCACTGTGCCACCAGGACCCTATTGAAATACTAGTGGACTTGAATGGCTGAGGCGAGAAGGGCAGGGGCCTTCGATGGCTCTAAGGTTTGGGGAAAGAAGGGAGAGGGTGAAGGGAGCTAGAAGGTCGTGTCCTTGTTTGATACTGTGGTCCCACTCCATGGAGGAGCCCGCACTTCTCCTCCTCTTGCAGAAGGTGTTATCTGGAGGCTTCAAGAAGCTGGTGAAGACTCGGAGGGTGGGTTTTGTGCAAAGAAAGGCCTTGGTGCTGAGGGCCAGGGGACAGTCCCTCCATGACCTCATTCTTCTCTCTCTGCAGCCCCACCAGCTACTGGAAGCCCCTTGCCCCTGACCGGTCAGACGATGAGCATGACCCTCTCAACAGCACCTCCAGACCCCGAGACTCCCACAACTATCTGAGCGACAGTGACACAGAGGCCAGGCCGATGGAGAGCAACGCATAGTCCAGGGGAGTGGCCCCCAGCCCCTCCTGCCCAGGCCTGCTGCCGCCAGGGCACCTCTCCCAGGAAATGGAAGGCAACAGGTCTCCCCCACCGGACTGCGGATCTGCATGGGGGACACCCAGCCCTCTTCTGTCAGGGGAACTTTCCAGGCTCTGCGTGTCTGGCATCTCCACGTGGATGAGGTGGGGGAGAGAGGAGTTTCTGAAAGGAGAACATTCCGTTCCACCCTGCCCCCCAAATGCCTCACTCTCGGCTGCCACCCCGGGCCACCTTGGGCAATGGCAGGTGGCTTGGCATTGCATGGAGCCAGCAAGTTGACCCCCATCTCAGCTCCCTACTCAGGGACAGGTGCACAGATTGCCTCCTGGGACATTCTGGGTTGCTGGGTGTATGCGGAGGAGCTGGAGAGGGCACGGCAATCCGTTCCCAGGTTTGGGCTGAGGGCTTTCTCTTCTCAGTGCCTGCTGTCTTTTTACTGTTTAAATTCCCAACCTCTTCATCACAACTGCGTTGAGAGTGGGAGGGGGCTGGGGGGCAGTGGGGCCCCGGGAATGACTGGGGGATCACGTCTGTCCCGACTCTCCGGAAAGTTTACCGTTCTCTGTAGAGCTGAGGATGTTGGTGAGCAGAGCCGGGCCCAGATTCTTAAGCGTCAGCATGGGGAGGGGATCTCAGGTGCTTCTGGGTTTGGGATGGATGAGCCTACACAGACTGGGGGGCATGTGTACCATCTGGAACTCCCAGGCCCTCCCCACCCCTCTGTGTCTCCTGTTGTATTAAGTGCAATGACCTATTTAAGATAAATTCCACTAACGCCAATTCGAGGCTTATCCACTCCCCCCCTCCCTCCACCTCTGTCCAAGCTGCCTGGACCATTAAACCTGAGATCAGGGAAGGCTTTGGACTGAGGGCTTGTGATCAGAAGAGAGAAAAGTGAAGACAGAAGGTTTGGTCAGTTCTGATGTGTATTAGACAGCAAGTCCTCAATCTGTGTCCCGAACCTGTCATTTGTCATCTTCCAGTCCTCTAGCCCACCCATACACACACACACACACACACACACACACACACACACACACACACACGCACGCACTCACCCCAGATGTGACAACATGCGGTCTGAAGGTCCCAGCTCCCACCCCAAAAGGTTATCCCACCAACACCACCAGGCTTGGGGGCCCCAGGGCAGTGCCTGGTGCTGCGCCCATCTGCTGTCCCCACCGCCCTCTCTCCTGCAATTGGTTTGTATTCATTGGGCTGTGCTCTCTCTTCCCTGATGTATGGAAATAAATGTCCTTTTCCTTCTGGTTGTGTCCATTGTCCTGCTCCTTCAAGCTGAGTAAAGGACGGTCTGGTCAGCAGGGGACTCAGAATGCCTGTTCCCGTGTCAGATCAGTGCCACTCTAAGTCGTCAACTTGAGGGCAGGTCTTTGGGGGATCATGGTGGGATGAGCAGATTGGTCAAGGAAGACACATCCATCTTTTCTTCTGAAGGCCTCTGGGCTATCATTGGGCTTGGCAGAGCTGTCCGGGCCAGAGCCCCACGCAGCCACCACACTGGACTTAACCAGGATCAGATGTGGGAACGTGGAGTTTCCTCTGATTGTTAAGGTTCACCAGTTACAGAGAGTCTGTCTTCTCTTCACATTTTTGTTTACAGAGCCAACTGCTGCGCGTCAGAAAGTTGATTTATTTTTCCCCTTTAACTTTTGTCTTATCTTTTGTTCTTCTCTACAAATAATTGCTAGTGCATTTAGCAAGAGTTTGGGGTTTTTACATTTTTTTCCTGTGAATTGGGTGAAGGTTTACAAAGCAGATCGGTTTTCTATTCAACGATTCGTACATCTTTTGCTTCAAGTCATTGTTTACGATCCCCACAATGTTCTATCACTTATCCCACTTCCCCGTGTTTCCCATCGCCACTCCTCCTTTCCAAACCCTTCCGAAGTAGAGAGACCGCGAAAGCGGGAAAGGCCTTTAAGGAGATGATTGACAGCGTGGCTGCAGCCGTGGGCTCAGGCACAGGAGCAATGGTGAGGGTGGCGCAGGACCGGGCAGTGCTTTCTTTTGTTGTGCAGAGAGAGGGTCGCTGTGGGTCGGAACCGACTCAATAGAACCTGACAACAACAACCCTTCTAAGCTTTGTCTTTGGGTAAATGCTGCCCCCCCCCCTTTTTTTAATCATTTTATTGGGGGCTCATACAACTCTTATCACAATCCATCCATCCATCCATCCATTGTGTCAGGCACATTTGTGCATTTGTTGCCATCATCATTCTCAAAACATTTGCTTTCTACTTGAGCCCTTGGAATCAGTACCTCATTTTCCCCCTCCCGTCCCCCTCCCCCTCCCTCATGAACCCTTGATATTTTATAAATTATTATTTTGTCTTATCTTACACTGTCCAATGTCTCCCTTCACCCACTTTTCTGTTGTCCATCCCCCAGGGAGGAGGTTATATGTAGCTCCTTGTAATTGGTTCCCCCTTTCTACCCCACCTTCCCTCCACCCTGATATCGCCATTCTCACCACTGGTCCTGAAGGGATCATCTGTCCTGGATTCCCTATGTTTTCAGTTCCTATCTGTACCAGTGTACATCTTCTGGTCTAGTCGGATCATGATAGTGGGGAGGTGGGGAAGCATTAAAGAACTAGAGGAAAGTTGTATGTTTCATCGGTGCTACACTGCACCCTGACTGGCTTGTCTCCTCCCCATGAACCTTCTGTAAGGTGATGTCCATCTGCCTACAGATGGGTTTTGGGTCCCCAATCTGTACTCCCCCTCATTCACAATGATATGATTTTTTTGTTCTTTGATGCCTGATACCTGATCCTATGGACACCTAGTGATCACACAGGCTGGTGTGCTTCTTCCATGTGGACTTTGTTGCTTCTGAGCTAGATGGCCACTTGCTTACCGTCAAGCCTTTAAGACCCCAGATGCTATATCTTTTGATAGCCATGCACCATCAGCTTTCTTCACATTTGCTTAATGCTGCCCTTTTTATCTCAATGGTTGATGATAGAAAGTTGTTTTTGTTGTTGTTGTTTTAAGTCTGTTGGTCATTCTAAAGGTGGCTTTTTAAATTAAAACTCTTTGCTACAACCACTTCCGGACACAGTGCCCCTTAAACAGGCTGGGTTTGAACAGAGGGCTACCCTCCGGTGCCCTCTTCTGTCTCTGCCATCATGCCCCAGCCCATACTTTGTCACCTCACTGGTACCGCAGAGGCAGCTCATGCAGAAGAACAAGACGGCCTTCTCCTCCTCCTCTCCCTTCTGGCATGTGGCCAGTCATCATCCCTGGGTGCATCAAGGGTTCACTCTGCAGCTAGAGGATCAGGCTCCCCAGATTTGGTCAAGTAGCAGGAAAGGGCATCACACAACTCCGGCGCCACGGCTCTGTTGATGGCCATCACCCAAAAAGAGGAAGGAAAAAATTACCCCCAAAGTCAGTGAGGGAGAAGCGTGTGGAGTGTTACCCATCTTAAACTAAGAGGGCTGCACTCTCCACTGCCCTTGGAAGTTGAGCAGAGGAAGTCATGAAAGTGACGTTTTTTGGTTTTGGTTTTAAATGCAGGTTCTTGGTGTTTGGTCCCGTCGCGTCTTTTGCTGATGCTTTCAGATAAGTTGGTTGATTCATTTTCTGTTTTTCCCGGGAACTAGTGTGACACACTCCTTCGCACCTCAGAAGAGAGTCCAGCTCTGTCACCAACACAGACTCGGGCCTCTACTTCACTGCAAAATCCAGCATCAACCTCCCCTAGCCTGGCCTAGAGCAAATGGCTTTGCTCGAGTCGGAAGACTTCCAATATTCATTTCCTCAGCACTCAAGAAATGTTCCCTAACCGCCTGCTGTGGGCTAGGCCCTGTTGTAGGGACTGGGGGTAGGCGTGGTCCCTTCCTTCCTAAAGGGTGTGTTCTAGCAGAGGGATAGAAACACAAGTAGGGACAGCATCTGCTATTGGGTAAGCACTTGGGCTGGGTTGTAGTTGCGGGTAGGTGCCATCGTGTTGGTTCCGACTCACAGCAGAAGGAAACCCTGCCTGGTCCTGCACCAGCCTCACCATTGTTCTTAGCTTTGCGCCCACTGTTGCAGCCACTGCGTCCACCTCTCTCATCAAGTGCCTTGGAGAGAAACAAATCACAGGGTTGGTCCTCCAAAGGGTTCATGGTCAAGGGCTGGAGTCAGGCCACATGGAAACAAGTGCATAAGACAGAAGGACAAAGACGTTGGCATGGACATATTATGGAGGGGAGACATTCTCAATGGGGACAGAACTGGAAAGACTTCTACATGTTGACCTGTGGCTTGAAGAGGGAGTAGAACTACCATAGCTGTTGTTGGGGAGGCATGGGAGAAGAAAGAAGAGCTTAAGCAAAGGCCCGGAGGCAGAGAAAGTCAGTGGTAGGGAACTGCACAGGCGGTATAGGACAGCCTGAAGACATGATGTCACGTGGGCATGGCCTCTTCAGACTATAAGAGAGACCCTGGGGAGGAGAGGGCTCCCTCAGTACCAACTCTCCAGGGGACTCCAGGGACTTCCAGGACCACCCAGGCCTATCTTCATCTCTGTAACTCTGGTCCCAGGTGAAACGACACACACCTGTCCCTGTGCCAGGCTCAAAGCCACCTCATTAGATTGTCTCTCACTGCTTACCTTCAGGACTCCTGGATGAGAGGTGGGGGTGGGGATCGAAGCCCTGGGGAACTCCCCATGGTGCCCAGGCTATATAGAGAGACCATCCTCAAACTGCCTCCTTTTGTCCTTGTGTCCCCTTGGTAAAGAATCCCAGTTGTCCTCCCCGAGTCCCCCGCCCCCACCCTCGTGCACAGACACTTAGCGATTTGCTCCTTAATTGTCCCCCAGCTAGGCTGTGCAGATGCCGCTCTTTAATCTCGCCTGATAAATGAATCGAGCCGCTCCTTTAATCATATGTTCATATCCAAGCCAATTTGAATCAATTTGGCAGGGAACGTGTTGCAAGATGCCATGACTGCCGCTTCCCACCCCCAGGTCCCCACAGCCAGAAGGGCAGCTGTCCTCGCCCTCAGCAAGGATCCCAGGAGGCCCATCCAGGGCTAGGCTCTCCTACCTGAATGGTGGGTGGGACTTTCCAAAGTCATGTCCTTTCATTCTTGCCCTCCAAGTAGGCTCTTGTGAGACTGGAGGGAGATAGAGTCCCAGCGGTCTCAGAAGTGGGAGGGAGGCAGGGAGGGAGGTGAGTCCACAGCCCTCCTTGGTCATTCAATAAAGGGCTCCATTTTCATCCCTGGGGGAAAGGGTTTCCTTAAATCGAACCCTAATCTTTTTTGTTCCCCTCTCATATCCTCTGAGCTAGTTCTCAGGGAACCTGGGACATTTTACCACCTTATATATAGCAACGCATTCCAGACCAGACGATGGTCATTTGTCCTTGCTCAAGACTACTACTGCTGCCACCTCGACTCCTTTCATCTTTCCCTAGGAAGTACGATTTTCGAAATCCCCCAGCCTCGTGGGCAGTCAGGGGCATGCGGGGCAACGCAGCACGTCACGGGGCAACTGCCTTTGCACCTCCATAGCGGACTACCCCAGGGCCCACAGGCAACAGTGATAACGAATGATTCACATCTGCTTAACTGAGTGCAGCTTCTGCCTCTAGGACAAAGGGCTTAATCTCTCAGGCCTCAGTTTACCCCATCAGCCAAGCAAGCTGGTGTTCCCGTAAGAACCTAAATTTGGTTGCTCCTCGCCGGTGCCCGGTGCCAACGGAACACCCTTGTCGCCCTGGGTGAGCAGTCAGGGGGACCATAGGCAGCATTAGAGAGGCCAGGAGACCCACAGGCCGGAGGTGCTGCGTGCATCCCGGGGGGCGGTTTCCAGCCGGGGGGGTCAGAACTTGGCAGACGGCCTCCCATCCCCAGGGAACTGGAAGTCCTTAGCGTCTTCGCACATTCCTCCCCCGGCACTTCTCCCCGCACTTCTTGGGAGCCACGCCCCTTTAAAGGGGCAATGCAAGTGGGCTCCTTTGAGCCGCAGATACTGACGGGCCCATCAAGCACGCCTTTGTAAGGGTCACCGCGTGCGGAAAGTCGGGCTCTTTGCTTCGCCATCCTTCGTGGACGCCTGGAAGCCCCCGAGAAGGTGAGGCTGGCTCAGGTGAAGCGGTGACTAAGGCCGACAAGGCCCAAGAGCGGGAGGCGACAGCTTCCGTTGATTGTGCCCAGCAAGCAGTTAGGTGCTTCGGATCTTTACACCAGCTCCTTTAACCTTGATCACGTCTCCGGGAAGGATCCTTCTCTGGGGCAGAAACCGCCCACCC